AAAACCGCATCAAAATCCGTTGCATAGTTTTAAAGATCTAAGCATACATACGGACATACAGCGAAAGCGACTTTGTTTTATACTATGTATTGATTTAAATAAAAGGTTGCCCCACAGTCCCACACTAGGATTTTCTGGTCTGGGTGCGTTTACAAACACGGTGGGTCGAACCTGTGACACGTTGCGCGGCAGCCAGTTGCCCAGCCACCGCGCCATTTTGTTATAATTCAGGCCTAGTAACAAAGTAAATCGCAATACCTACTCTTAATGTAAGCTGAAAGCTTAAGTTATTATTGTTTTATTAGCTTACTAACTTATGCCTATAACTTAACTCTTCTTGGAATCAGCTTAACACAACATCTCATCTCTTATTCTCTGAATAGTTAGGCAAACTTAGACATTTATGATGTTATATTACAATGTTACATCCATTTCTACCAGGCTTGTTATAAATTTTATGTAAAAGGGGTGTACAATTCCTAACATCATTGTCATCATTGTAGTGTGTGTCACACCTAGCCCTATAAGTACCTAAGTAGTGTAAGTTAGTTAATAAGACACTTAATTAAAGATATTCCTAACAACATCACATTGTTCCACATTGCATGGCGACCCTGCCAGTGCTGCCACGCGGGCAGCGCTGAGCATGAGTACGGACTTATGGATTTATATGTATATAAAAATGAAACCCGGTTCCCGTTGGTACGCCATAACTTGAGAACGGCTAGATCGATTTGGTTAATTTTCGTTGTGTTTGTTATTATCAGGAGGTTTTTATGACAGAAAAAAAATCCTGAAAATCCTACGGGAACGGGAGATAACTGGATTGCGCGTACGAAATCGCGGGCAGAGGCTAGTGTCTAATAAAGTCGCGGAGAACTTAACGGGTAACCGGGGCTCCGGCTCGATGTGCAGAAGAAGGAACGGGGTGGTTTTTAGTCAGTAAGAGTCTGACACTCCCTCCCGCCTCACCCAGGCGGGAGCAGTCATTCGATGATTTTCCCCCCTTAAAAAAGTATAGTTAATAAGTGAAAATAGACTATATAGAACTGTAGAAAGATAATCATCAGCCTATAAGTTGCCACTCCTAACCAAAGGACCCTTCTCAAAGGAACAATTCCAGACACCGTGCTATTATTAAGAGTTTTCCGAATATAATAAGCAATTCGATTTAACATAGTCATAGCACTAATAAAACTTCTTAGCAACCCCCGAATTATCAACAAACGATCATTACGTCTGTATAATAACTGGAATAAAATCTACGTGCCTTCCTCTCCCTTCCCTAGACTACAAATCATCTTGATTGATTGATTCAGGTACTCCAAAAAGTTTCTACGTGATCAAATTAAAATAAGAAAGAGATTGGATCGATACGAGAGTTATATGAGCTCCCCTGCCTACCCTGTCAATAGCAGTCCGCGCTTACAATTAAAACCACGTGACTGATATAAAAGTTGGTCACGTGGAACATTTCCGTTAAATTAATGACGGTTAACCGTTTTTTTGAGGTTGTTTTTTACAACTGCTTTGTTCCTGTCTTTTAAAAGGAATCCATAGAAACGTTATAACTGTTTTCTGAAGTTCGTTTCGAAATTTTCGGTCGTTTGTTTTCTAACCGATTGTTTGGAAAGAGGGTAATGTTTTTAAAAGACTACGTCTTAGTAATTGCTGTTAAATTATTTGGAAGTAATGAACAATATTTTGGGCACAATTTTATAAAGTTTATATATATCGGTGGCATAAGTAATTGGGGATTTGAATGTCGTGTTTATTTACTTTTTTCGGTTAATTATATTTTGATTGCTAATTTTTTTTCCTTCGTGGTTTAATTAATTACAGGACCGTATTTATTACAATTTTGGTCATGGAACATTAAGTGTACAGTGAGTTGGCTGGGCGACAAGTTATTGCATTTATGTGTGTGATAAAAACAAAATGATGACAAACAACCTTTGGTAATTATTTGATACGTATCATGATTTACTAGAAACATCAGCGAAAATCCTTTTTTTCTATTTAAAATGCAAAGTAGAAAAGGTGCCTAGTGAAAGAAAGGCACTAAGTCCGCTTCATGGCAATGGTACACGCAAACAGCATCGCTCCAACCGCAACCGAGCTGTTTAACTTTTTTTTTTTTTATGGAATAGGAGGCAAACGAGCAGACGGATCACCTGATGGTAAGCGATCAGCGCCGCCCATGGACACCCGCAACACAAGAAGAGTCACAGGTGCGTTGCCGGCCCTTTAAAAAGGAGTACGCTCTTCTCTTGAAGGTTCGAAGGTCGTATCGGTTCGGAAATACCGCCGACGACAGATCATTCCACAGTTTTGCTGTGCGAGGCAGGAAGCTACGTGAGAACCGCACAGTTGTGGCCTGCCAACCATCTATATGATGGGGATGCATATGCTGTCGTGATGGTCGATGGCGATAATTTGCGGCAGGTATCAGGTCAAACAATTCCTCAGAGCACTCCCCGTGGTATAACTCGTCGAGTACCGGTTTTGTAGACACAATTATAGAACAATAGGTTGCGGTCACCGGTGACCGCTAGGTGTTTGACAGTTTAATAGTAATTTTCAACATTTAATCTTATGTCATATGATATATTTTACTACGTCAATACAAAAAGGCTGTGAGCACGCTTCCGCTTGCTGACACAGCGCCGTGGGTATTTTTTATTATTTTCAAAGTAAAACGCAGTGACACAGGCGTGCCGTTACTGAATGCCATGCCCATTCAATTTCATTGTTTTTGTTATATTAAAATTACCTCTAAAATAAATAATATTAACATATGTTCATAGGTTTGTTTGTGAACGCAAAATAATTTAATACTCTCTAAGAAAATAACTAATTGCATTACAACTACCTCCATTTAAATCCTCGGCGTAGAATAGGGTATTTTGTTATACCGGCGTAGAATATGGTATTTTGTTATTTTGTTATATATTGTAGAACATACTTTTTTAAAAGAGTAACGAATGGAGTTTCTTGCTCGTTCTTCTCCATTCGAATCTACGTTTTGGAATGAGCACCTAGCTTCACCTAGCATCACTGACGGACTGACTGACAGACTATTATTTATTTGTATTTGTTGACGTTTCAAAAGTACCAAACTATGGTTTAATTGAAATAAATGCTTTGACTTTGACTTTGACTTTGACCCTACTTCACGATAGCGATGACGAAATTTTATTGCCTTACGGTAACATTTTTTTTAATGTGTAAGTATTTTAGTTATTGGTTATTTGTATTTATAATATTAATATTAGTTTAAGTTAATTTTAAGTTGTATATATTTATTGATTATAAAAAACCGTAACATTTAGTTTTATCTATATTTTGTTATTATACCTAACGTAACATATCTGAAACTTATACAAAATATATATATAGTAGTTATACATTAATATTATGACTATCCAGTTCATTTGTTTGTATTCCAAGAAATAATATTAACACTGGAAAACTAGAGGTACTTACAGAACTTTACAAATACATTTTAAGGTTATCACATTGTTACCTGGCTTGTGTTCTAAGTACAAATACCGACTTGTTATCGAGGTGAACTTCTAGGTTTCTAAATTATAGTCCAAATAGTATGAAACTATTTAAAATATTTAACGAATGTCGACGTCTCATTCGTAGGTAAGTCTAGTGCTTACTCCCTTGACTAAGCCCCAGTGTGCCTCACGCGTTTTCCAAAAGTTAATATGAATAAACCGTGTATGTAACTACAAGTGTTATTACTTAAAACAGACATTTACACATAGTAAGTATATTTATTTAAAACACATCCATCATCTACAAATTACATAATTATTACATACATAATTCCCATTGTGGACCAAAGTTACTGAAAAATAATTATGATTAAGACACAAATGCATAATTATATTAAAAGTAATTACATAATAATATTTTATACTGGTATACAACATACATTTTTAATTTCGAAAAGATAAAGTTTATCTTTTCTACGAATGCAATTAAGTTCTTGTAAAGTAAATTTGTGCAATATTTATAATAATTTATAATGAACACATGAATAAATATTAAAATACATCAGTATTATGTGTGGATAAAGCCAAGTGTACACTGCCGTATCAAGCGAAGCCTGTCGATTTTGCCTGTAATATATTATAAGGCGACAACGCGCGCCTTATGTCCACAGCGACGTTGATGTTGCCAGACATGTCGACCAAAGTTAGGCAACATCGCGCTTCTTCACTTGCGACCTAATTCGCAGGACCTTATCCCCAAGTGTATTCTTGGCTTAGATAGATAGATAGATTCATTTATTTGCCTGAAATATGGTGGTTTACAGATTTTACAACACAACAATAGTTCATCATATCTCGCCTATAAATTCGGCATGCAAATATTTTAACAAAACTAAATCACAATTTTTTGTTACAATTTCCAATAAGAACATTACACATATCTTAATCTATCAAAAAGTAGGCATAAGCAGGTAAACAGAATACGTTTCCCACCTATGTTGTCTACAAACATTGGGTAATTGTTTAAAAATTTTCTATATTTCCTATTCTGTATCAGATATTGCCTTTTTCTATATCTTTAGCTATTGTGCCTATATACATGTGCCTATATATACAGGATGGAATGTTGTAATGCCACCTGAAGGGGAAGTACTCTTAATACTTAAGATAGAAAATTTTACTCAAAGAAAACATTATTTTATTTTTTTAAATTCGTTAGCCACACACGGTAGTTGAACCGACTAAAATCTGTAAAAGTTGCACCCTGTACATTTATTGCACCGATGGTTCGGGTCAATAAGGATGAAATCTCTCTAACAAACTTTATAAATTTGTCGAAAGGAAAACAATGAACGATCGATGCAATAAAAGTACAAACTTTACTGTATAATTAAAAAAAACACGCTCTCAGATCTCACAACAAAGAGACTGCACTGCCTACGAACCCCTTTTAGGCATAAAACGTGTGCATAACAAGACCTTCCTTATCTTTACTCTACATAAGGCCAGACACCATATCTCTTGTAGTGAATCCTTTCAGCAACAAGTATCAATAATGATATGACGTAACTACACGCTAATATAGTAATAGGTATTGATATTTGTTGCATAGATATTTGTATTAGATGGCTTTTCGTACACTTAGGCTCTTCAAATTCGGTTGAAACTATCCGTTGCAGTATTCCTGATTCTTTTATACGCAGTGTGCTGGAAAAAGATAAATAGGTATTTATGATTTTTGTGACACAAAAGAAAATGTACCTAAATGTCTAAAAGTGTGGGAGAGACATGTTTCGGCACGAATGGGCCGGCTCGACCGGTGTTATATCACGGCCTCAGAGACAACCGATGCGCGATGTGAAACAACGCTTGCGTTGTGTTTCGTCGTATGCGTGAGGTTACCAGAGGTCCAATAATCCCCTATCCCTCCCCAATCTCCCCAATCTCCCCAATCCCTGAATCCCAACAATCCTAAAACAGTAACGCACTTGCAATACCACTGGTGTTCCGGGTGTCTATGGGCGACGCCGATTGCGTACCATCAGGGAATCCGTATGGTCGTTTACCGGCTTAACCCATAAGAAAAAAATGTGATTTAATGATTTTTATGTTTTGTTGTAACTCTTAGGTTTCGGTCAATTGGGTGAATTTGTCAATTGTTTTGCAAGATTTTGATACTTCGGTCTTTAAAAGTAAAGTAGAGGTTGATAATCTTTATTTTCATGACCATACATACATACATAACATCACGCCTATTATCCCCGAAGGGCTAGGCAGAGGTGCACATTACGGCACTAAATGCCACTGTACAATGCAACACCCACTTTTCACTATTTATGTTATGTGTCCCATGTAATAAGGGGTGAGCCTATTGCCATATACCGGGCACATTTCCAGACATCGTGCTACTACTGAGATTTTTAAAAACCCAGTAATACTTTGCCCGACCCGGGAATCGAACCTGAGACCTCTTGACCAGCAGTCGCACTTGCGCACACTCGGCCAACGAGGCAGTCATGACCATTACATTTCATGGCATGACATTTCATGACCATTAAGACCAAATTATTGGAATCCATTCAACTACACGACATTATGGGACCACTCACCCAATTTTAAACTGTTCCTTGTATTGAAATTGTTTTGAAGCATGAAAATACTTTTTGACTCCGGAAAACAGGTCGACTGACACCAACTTGCAAATGTCATCGTTGTCGTATACTGGAAGCAAAGACATTATGAGTTACATCACAATATATGATGTAGGTGCCGGTAATAATTGTACTACTAGAGATCAAAAGATTAATGCCCAGACTAATGACCATCCACTCGCTTGATGTTTGCCAGTAATATCAAACACAAGAAAGTCCTAGACATTGATGTGTCCGGGGTCGTGCGGTCCATGGCCATCTACGGCGCCCCTGTGTGGGCACCCAACATGCTGCGGCGTCCCGCTCGGATGCTGCTCATGTCACAGACGGTCATGGCGATCCGAATGATCGGCGGATACCGCACGATCTCCGGGGAATCGGCGAACCTCCTTGCCGGGTTACCGCCGTGGGATCTCATGTGTAGCAAGCGTGTGGAAATAACGCAAACTGTTTGCCGAACAGCCTTTGGTCTGAGTTAGTGTTCGTCACTGTTTAAAGCCCCGTCCAAATACCAAACGACAAACAGGAAACACCTACATGTGGATGGGTGTTTGTATGTGTTTGCCTGTTCCTGTTTGTGTTCGGCAATGTTCGGGATCGGTGTCGAACATAGGCGAACACAAGCACAGATCAAACGCTGTTCGGCAAACAGTTTGCGATGTATCCACTGGTTTATACATCGATGTTCGGGACTTTATATGTTGTGTTTGGTATTTGTGGTAAACATCAATCGTGTGGATGGGGCATAACACTGATGCCGAACAGTGGCGAACATATTCAAGATCAGGCACACGCATACATACAAACATCCATCCAAATGTTTGCTGATTGCTATTATTTGTCAAGCGTGTAGACCCGGTATTACAGACAATGCATAGACAAAAAGGTCGTAACAAGCGCAGTATGGTGGCAAATAGCATATTGGTGATGCATATAGTAGAAATCGTTTTCTCCAAAATAACATAACATAACACAATATTACGCCTTTTATTCCCAAAGGGGTAGACAGAGATGGACATTATACCGCTGTACAGTGTTACACCCACTTTTCACTACTTATGTTATGAGTCCCATGTAATAGGAGGTAAGCCTATTGCCATATACCGGGCACAATTCCAGACTCCGTGCTGCAACTGAGAATATTTAAAAAATCCCAGTAATACTTTGCCCGACCCGGGAATCGAACCCGAGACCCCTTGCCCGGCAGTCGCACTTACGACCACTCGGCCAACGAGGCAGTCTCCAAAATAGGCATGTAAAAATACACAAATGAGTATGTATATTTTCATGTTGCCCCTTACCCCTTTTCATATACGGATATATGGTAGTATAATCAGAGAGTAGAGCCACGCGCCCCGTCTTCACTTCCTCCAGTCCTTTGACGACGGTCACCACTCGCATTGCCATCAGCCTGTCGAATATAGCTCCGTAGTTCTGGGCGTACATATGAGACTATAATTAATCATATTTATTACATGTTACTACTTCTAATATTAATTAAGAATGGGCACACCGAAGTTTTACTTAATGGAAATTGTAAGATGTTTACTTATATTAGTAGTCTACGCAACGCGGTAATTCGCAAATTGTTAAGGATATTTTATTTTAAACATTGCCCAATACTCCTGTGTCGTGGGTGCGTTTACAAACATACAAGTTCACATACACATCACACCTAGACCCCGAACAACAATCTGTGGATCACACAAAGATTTGTTCCGTGCGGGAATTGAACCAGCTACAACGTTGCGCGGCAGCCATTTGCCCAGCCACCACACCAACCGTGCAATCAAGTCATAATGGTAATGATATTAGAATTAAAATCTATATTGATAACTAACTGTTTAACACGTAGATGCTTCAATATATAGAACTATACTGAACTACTAATCTTACTCATACTATAATTTAAAAGTCCTGTCTAAAGATTAATCGGTTTACGAGGTCAAATCCAAACCACAAGCAACGGCTATAGTCAACTTGAGCTTATTATGTAAAAAGACTTCCATTTTGCCTTTTAAATAATGGCCTATCATAGAAGGGTATACGGAATCGCGGAGGATCTAACCGGGTTACTGGGGCTCCAGCTCGAAGTGCAGGAGTAGATGGTGGTTTTTAGTCACTAAGAGTCTGATACTCCTTCCCGCCTCACCCAGGCGGGAGAAGTCATTCGTTGCTATTCCCCCCTTAAAAGAATCATATAAGTGTGCAAAATGAATCGCTACTTGAAATGTACTGCTTAAAATGGACTGCACGGTTGGTGCGGTGGCTGGGCAACCGGCTAACGGGCAACGTGTCGCGAGTTCGATTCCCGCACGGAACAACTTTTTGTGTAATTCACAATAGTTTGTTTCGGGTCTGGGTGTCATGTGTTTGTGAACTTATATGTTTGTAAACGCACCCACGACACAGGAGAAAAACCTTGTGTAGGACAAAGAATAAAAAAAAAATTAAAGCTGGTACATAGAATAAGGAGAGATACTCACACGTTCCACGATGTTCCTCATCATATAGTCCACAATGACACGCATATATTCAGTGGCTACAAGAGTCTCCAAGTTGATTTCATTGTCTTTATCATTCACTAGATTTGAGAGCAGGTTAGAAGTATAGAAGGTATACACGATGTACGTGAACACGAAGAAGATGAAGTAGGCAATTCTTCTGGATGGTAACCTCGTGTCTATAGGTGGTACTGTGTAAGTAAGGTAATGAAAAAACATTAGACACGTATTTTTTTATTTTCTCGTATAGTAAAACAAAAAACAAATTTTAGGAGAGGGGGCTAAAACGTCATTTCTACGTATGAAATGTACATAGAAGTGACGTCATGCGACATTTCAAATCAATATGTCGTTGAAAGTATTTGTTTCTGTAAGAAAATAAAAAATACATATCTAATAGTCGGGTCAACACACATAGGCTACATAACAATGTTATCACGCTATCACCTGCGTGGGAGGAGTTGTTTCACTTTTTGATCACTATTTCACGCGAACGAAGTCACGGGCAACAGCTAGTTACTTACTATGTTGGCAATATCCACCAATGATGACTAGGGATTCGTATACGAAGCTGCAATGCCATCCGCCGACCACGCTGAACTCCCATCGTTTGAGCATGTAGAAGATGATGCTGGTGAGGAATGCCATGGCATACAAGCAGTTCCACACAGGCCTGGTAAACGGTTTGCTGTAGAATGTGGTGAAGAATTTCTTGTCCCTACGACTTAGAAGGAAGCCAAATCTGTGAAAATAAAAAATATTATTGTTGTTGTTTTACTAGAAAAGTTTGGAAAGAGTGTTTAAAATTCTGGTAATACTCATGCATTAGTCATGATTGATTTTGTTTTCTTTCTTAGTTTCTCCTAGTTCCAATATATTTCTTTTCAAACATTTGGTGTATTTCTTGTATAGCATAAGCCGGTAAACGAGCAAACGGATCACCTGATGGTAAGCAATCGGCACCGCCCATGGACACTCGAACCATCAAGGCGTTACATGTGCGTTACCAGCCTTTCGGGAATTGGGAATTTGAGGATTGTGGAGGATTCGGGGATTCGCGAGACGGGGACTAGGGAGGGGGATAATTGGGCCTTCGGTAACCTCACTCACACGACGAAACACAACGCAAGCGTTGTTTCACGTCAGTTTTCTGTGAGGCTGTGGTATCACTCCGGTCGAGCCGGCCCATTCGTGCCGAAGCATGGCTCTCCCAGACTTAAAATGCATTACATATGCAGACTGCATATGGCTAGATATTGCAAAAAAATAGCAATTTTGTAACCCTTATACTGCCCGTACCCAATAGATTCCAAAGTAATTTATCTTTGGATATCGACAAAAGCCGAAAAACATTCCAATCCAAAGAGATCAAATCTCTTTAAGCCTCTTTGTACAGCACAATTTCAAGTATTTTAAAAAATAATTTTCCAACAGAAACCATTTTATGTCTTGGCAATAAAAAATGTAGCTTTGTGCTCATTTAGCAGCAGTCCCTAAGGACAAAGATTCTGTTTTGAAATTATAGTAGTCTTTGTCTTTTAATATGAGACTGGAGAGACTTAAGTTTCATTTGGCAATATTTTATAGACTAGTTTGTAGGAATATTAAATTAAGAATAGAGTTTACTTTAAAAAAATATTTTGTAAGAAATATTATTTATTTTTCAATACAATAAATCTTTATTGTCGAAATCGAACACAATATAAATGTGTTTGTAGTTTTCAAATTCTTGCTTTAGTTACAAATTTTCGAGGTACCTAAGCTTGTTTGTAACATTTTGGGACGTAACAATATAGAATAGATTTAACTAGGTATATCAATTTTATTAAAAGGTAAAGGAATACATGAAAGACACACCTTTACATGTTGCACAAAACCCTGTAAAAGTCACAATCATAAAAATCTAAATAATGTACTAAATAAAAATATATACAAACCGCCAAGTATTAATAGCAAGTACAGGGTAGGAATCTTGCAAAAACTCAGTAGTTAAACTCATAGATCTGGTGTAGACATCAGCTTTGGTACTTATCTGATAGGTCGTATTTCTCAGTGAAGGACTTAATGTCAAGTTCCATACTGGATTCTCGAAAACGTAGGATACACTGTAAGAAAGGAAAGTTTGTTATTTTATTCCAATTTCTGTCTGCTGTGTTGCTGCAGTTGGTCGACTATCGGGCACGGAGTCCGTTTTTTGAGGGGTCAAAATCATATAATGCCTTCTCTCGCCCGGGTGAGGCGAGAGGGAATGTCAGATTCTTTCTGACTAACCGCTCGATTGCTTCTTGCAACCACAATTGCAAAAAAAAAGTTGTTTATTTTGCTTCGTGCAACCGTGGTTGCAAGGCGACGAAGTTTGTTTAATTCAATTTAGTCTCTATACCAAACGCATAAAGTCGTAGTTGTATGTATTTAAACCAGAGACAGATATATTTCTCATAGATGTGTGCCCGTATTACCAACATCACGGTAGAAAAATAACGAAATATTGTCAAGTAATGTCAGTTGTGTTTACGTGAGTGAAGTGACGTTATACTGTTTTAAGTATTTTTACTACATTATTGTATGTAAATTGTTTTCAAATACAGTTAAATATATATAATAATATTGCGCATTAAACGAAATAAAAACAAAATTGCGTTTTTCTGTAAAAACAACAAAAAAACAACATTTTAAGCCTTTATTTCTTTGTATTAGGCATTATTCCTTTTATGGGAAAAATTAACTTTATAAACTAAAATAGAAAATATAACCATATGACATTCATTCTTCTAAAAAAAACACAGACGTCACAATGGCAGTGACATCTCTTTATATTAATTATTCTATATTTCTTATGATAAAGCGGCCAATTCAACAATGAGAATTAAGCACAGAGTATTTAATAATTAAGAAAATATAATATAGTGATTTTCTTTACATCT